ATAGACTTATATCAAGCCGTCTCATTCAACCTTTCCCTTGTTGGCTATCGTAAGCCTCTGTGTGTCATGGCCCTTCAACCCTTGGATTCATGTCACTTTTGCTTCACCAACCCATTCATTTTTTTGACCTTAAGTCTCTAAACACTTTCTAGACCTTCTTGATACTCAAACTATGAAGACCAGTCCCAAGCTTTGTTTCCACTGAATGAGAGACAAGAGCTATTGAGATCCTCTCTACAACTGTGTCTATTTTGTGTCCTGTCTCAGTAATGCATTCTAGAATGGGCTCAGGAATATTATGATATCATCACAGTACTTTTCATTTCTTTCCTTCCTTCCACAAATTTTTAGTAAAATATTATTCTCTGGTAATTTACTTCTATTGCACTTACCTTATACCTGACCAGTGAGTTCTTTTGTTTGCTTGTTTATTTTTTTAATAGGGTAACTGATTTTATTGTTATATTTGAAACATAGGCTTATTCTAGCAATGATCAATAATACCTATCTTGTCATAGTCATTAGCCTATATTACAAATGTAAGCTTGATTATTTCGAGGTCAATCTTGATTTTCAGGACTATATACATAGTTCTGTAGCTGCTATGTTAACTTCAGCAACTGTAAGTAGCACCTGTGATCTTTAAAATTGTTTCCTCATAGCGATTGTTAAGATACATACTCTCTAGTTAGATTTTCTGGTAGACTGATGTGAGAGATGTGTCGGGCAGGGTAGAATTTTCAGGATTTCTCAGTAGATGCAGAAATGATTTTCTACTCTATGTGCAAAGTTAAGGATTCATAATGTAAAAACTCACTTGAGAGGCCTCTTTTAAAAAGAGTGGCAGAAAATATGAGAAAAACGTGGGAAAGTTTAGTCTTGCACACCCTTGGGGGTTTGGCAAGCTTCACATGTGATAAAACTTGACTAAATTTTCTCCTCTGTGGATCACAGTTGAGGACCCCACCAGACTGAGGTACACAATTGTATTCATCCATTGTAAAACAAAACTAAAACTGTAATGAATGTATTTGAAGAGAAATAAATATGAAAGAAATGAAGTGTAGTATTACTTGATAATTTTGGTATGGAGTTAGGCAATTTGCTTTTGCTTATATAAGTAGTTTCAATTAGAGCAGTTCTGCTGCAGATGACCATTAATTACTATTTAATTCGTTGGTAGTTTAAAAACCCGATTTATTTGAGCAAGTGGAATTATTTAGATTATTCTTGAAAAACATTAGTTCAGTATTATAATTAATGCATTTGAAGATCATGACCAGTTATCTTTAGAAATAGATGCTATCTCAGCAGATGCTTTTCTTCTCTTCTTTCCTCCTTGTTGAGATGATTTAAATGTTAGTGCTCACATGCACAGAATGTTCACTCTCATGATTTCATTGCTCTTGATTTTGTCCTAAGCAGTGATGTTGGCCCTTTTAAAAATCATTCTTTGAGGTTATTTGTTCATTTCTAGTGTTATTGGGGAATGAATGAACTAGATTTCTCTAGTTCAGCTGTTATGATTTCTTATATTTTAACATTACCTTCTCCATCCACCAAGAAAAATGGTTGGAAACCTTCCATAGTAGGTGAGCTCTGCAATGATTTTCATCAGGTGACAGCATGACAAAACCTTCTGATGAGACTGAAGAGAAATACATAAATAAAAACATAACTGCTGCTTGAGCTCTTCCTGCAGATGGCACTGGTGCTACTTGGATAAAGAACATTTTTGTGCTCAGCAGCTTGTAGTTCATTGTTCACACTGGAAAGGCTCATACGTACCAGGAAACTAAGTAGATGTTTTGTAATAAGTACTCACTTACCTGTGCATGATTGAACCCCAGCATGGTTCAACCAGTCCTTTCGGAGGTCTGCTTTTCAATTAATGCCTCCACATGGACAATAAAATCTGATGCAGTACTCTTTTTGACTAGGGAAGAGACCTACCACTAAAATCACATGAAAAAGTAAAGCTCCAGGACCATTCTCCCAGTTGCATCTGCTTGAAAAATCCAGCCTAGTCTGAGAATGCATAAATGTTACAGGGGTTTGGAGGGAGATATCATGATTTTTTAAAGTAAAAAACATGTTATTCTGCTAAAATCCTGGGGAGATTTATTCTGATAATCTTAAAAGTGAATTTCAAAAGATTTATTGAACACTTATATGAGGCAATGCATTGTGCCAGATTGCTATGAAAGGTTCAAAGATTAAAAACAGAAAACAAACACGATCTGTATCTCCGCAGATCTCTCAAGCTAATTGCAAAAACAGACACGCATAAACATGTGAGATGCATGTTGGTTTGGTAAATGTTATAAAAATTACCAGTAAGATGTTATTGGAGTAAGGGAGGGGTATCAAAGAAGATTTGAGATGGGCTGTGAAGGAAGGGAATATTCAGTGGAATATGAAGTCGGGAAGAGACCAAGTAGAATTTCCAATAAGGAAACTGTATGAGCAAAGCTGTAGTAGAGAACAGTCTTCTGCTTGGGTTTAATGATTTATTTAAGGACTGATACACTCAAGGCTACCTGTAAGTTGCTGTAAAATATGACTGTATACCACTTCCTAATTTTGGACTCTTGGGCATGTTAGTTAACCTCATTGTGCCTGTATTTCCTCATTTCTGATGGAGGGTAGTGAGACTACCTCTCTGTACAGGTTCTGAGAGATTGAATGAGCTAACATATATATAGTGCCTGGCCATAGTAACAAATATTACTGTTATTATTAAAAAAAATTAGATGGGCATATTTTATGCCAGTCATTCTACAAGGAGAATTCTATCAGGAGACTAAGAATTAGGTATCAACACAATCGTACAAATAAAAATATTTAGTTTAGATAAGTTAACTTGCTAAAGATGATACAGAACAGATTTGTACTTAGGCCAAGTCAAGCCTGTTTTTTGCTTCACTGTTCATCTCTTATATAATTAAGTTGATTGTAATCAGTCTGTGTGGTGAGTGGATGGCAAGACGCTACAGTGACTTAAAGATGATAGGGGTCCAGAGCAGAAGCCTTCTGATGCTTGGTCAAGGGTTTAATCTTTATTTGTTAAGAAATAGAAAATTATTTAAGGGTTATCATGAACACCGCCCGTCTCCTGTGGCAAAGAGTGAAAGATAGTTTTGACCCAGAGAAGACAATTAATAGGTGTGATTGAAGGCTAACTAAAAAAATTCAAGTATTAACTGAGGGGTTTCTTTTAGTATAGAGGAGGGAACTCAGTAGTTTGAAGAATTATAGTCTGCAAAGGAGAGCAAAAAGAAACAGATGGAGGAATAGAGAAAGCAAAAGGGTATTTTGGGATGGGCACAGATGATGGCTGAGTGAACTCAAAGGAGTGATTAGCGATGACAAGTGCAGAAAAGAAATTGAATAGAATGTGGACCACTGTCAGGGAGTGTCAGTGGAGGAGAGGGAGTAGACACTGTGGCAGTAGGTTGAAGAGTGACTGTGAGGTGCGTTGTGCGAGAGGGAATTTAGACTGTTTCTTTGAGGAGTTGACATTCTTCGTTATGCAGAGAGAGAAGAGAGGCAACCCTAAAGGTGTCATCATAATCATTTTTATTGTGTGTATATGCATGTGTTTTTCTCTTAGGCATGGAAGTGCATTGATCGTTATTGAGGAAGCTGCCAATAGAGCTGAAGCTGGAGAAAGACACCTGAGTAATGGTCAGGGAGGTGATAATAGTGAATGGAGTTAGGGGCTAAAAGTGACTAGTCATCCAGTGCCATGAAGATTGGAAAGTAGGAAAGAGACATGAGTATGACATTGTGGGTGTACAGTATTCAAGGAGCACTTTTTGCTTTACAGAAAAAAATAGTATGGCCAGAGGCTATTAAATACACTCTAAATTCTCATATATGACACATAAATCCCTTAACTAATTCCTCAGTTTTAATCCCCTACTCCTCCACCATTTTAGAACTGTACCAAATGCTATTCATACCATGTATCTTGCTGTAATATGCCCTCTATATTAAAAGGTTTTCTTTTTTCCAGAGCCTCTATGGTTCAAGTATAATTTAATATCTCTCTTCTGAGGTCCACTGGGTCTTGAATTCTATAAATTCTTTCCAAGTAGACGTCATTAGATTGAGAGCACCTTAACAAAGACCATTTTATATTCTTACCACTTAGCACACCGTAGTTGTCCAATAAAATTTGTTGAATCTAATTTTATTTTCCAAAATAAGACTTTTTTGTGTGTTTTTAAGTTTTTGTAGCAATTTAAGATTACAGACTTTCCATTCATAAAGCTGAAGTAGAAGCAAAATTGATTTTAAAACTGGTAGAAATGATACTTTACTTGCTAAATCACACTCTTAAACGCACACTACCTTTGCTAGTTTGATTTGGTGTGCGTGTCTGTGTGTGTGTGTGAATTATGGGTCACCAACAAGTGTTAAATATATGAAGGGTAGAATTTTAGTTTTAATTTTTGAATCTACAACAAAGTCTTGCTAGACCCATGATCTATAAATGCCTGACAAACAACTCGTAAACGTTTATGTTTATACTCTGTTATGTACTATGTATGGGCCCAGTATCTTCTTGCAGGATTCATCTTATATCCCTGTGTCTTAGTTACTTCTCTGTGAAATGACTTCTTTCACTGACTTCTACACCGTTATAGTTCTGAATTAAGGAGGCTATATTTGATTAATAATTTTTGCTCATAGAAGAAAAGCACTAGGTAGATGATTATTCAACCAGGGATAAGAACTTATGTTCCTAGTCATAAGCTGGTCTATTCAGTGGATGAATAAAATGAGTAATATAATCTGTCCAACCATCTTCATACACAAAGTTTAGTAATAAATCATGGAGGATTTTGCTTTTATTTAAATGAGCATAGACCTATTGCCTTTGTTCTTTAAAAGTTCAGTTCTCTATGAGAACAGAAATGTCAAAAAAAGAAAAAAAAAAAAGAAAAAACATTCAGTTCTCTTTTATTTAGAACACTTTTTATTTACAACTTTCCTCTTCCATGGTTTGCTATACTTCTCATCTCAGTCCAAGATATTGCTCCCTGATTTCTTTCTTTTTTCTTTTTTTAGCCCACAGGGTTTCTCACCACCTGAACTGCAAACACTGTCAGAGTGTATTGATGGCTTTCATATTATATGTTGACAATGCTACTACTCGGGAGTGGAAATGTGGTCAAAAAGACAGATATGACTGTCCATCTTTCCAGAGAGTAGTGCTGTGGTAAGAAACATTCACATTATTTGTTTTAGCTCCCAAGGTTACTTTGGTGTGTACATCTTGCTTTTTATTTCCAAACATATTGTTGCTAAGTTTCTGAACGTTTTGTTTAACGTCACATCCTAGGGTTTTTGCTTCTGTGAGTTTTGCTTAGCATGCATACAAAGAATTATGGTGTTGACATTCTCTTATTTGGAATATTTTATCCAGGGCCCGCTGTACTGTGTAATTTAATTTTAAATAATAAATTGAATACAAATGGAAATAGTGTGCTGCCTTTCGAAATGTACTTCCTAGATCTAGCCCTTTTCTTGAGATTGTTGAGAGGACAGTGTTACAGAAGCATTACCTCATTTACTGACCCATGTTTGAATGTGCTTTTGAAGGGCAATGACTCAAGACAGTGGGTATTTACATTGTATTTTAAGTCTTTCAGAAATTAAAAATTTCAATGTATTTTTTATTTTTTGAGACAGGTCCTCCTTTGTCACTCAGGCTGGAATGCAGTGATGAACATGGCTCACTGTAGCCTTTATCTCCCAGGCTCAAGTAATCCTCTTGCCTCAGGTGTGCCACTGCACCTTGCTAATTTAAAAAAAAAATTTTTTTGTGGGTTTTGCCAAGTTGCCCAGATTGGTCTCAAACTCCTGAGCTCAAGCAGTCCACCTGCCTTGGACCCTCAAAGTGCTGAGATTACAGGTGTGAGCCACTGTGCCTGGCCTGGAATATGATATTCTATAAAATTCATCTCATGCTGTTACATATGAACCAATTTTGTAATTGATGAATATTGATAAAATTAGTTTCATTTAGACTCTTGACATTATAATCAAGAAGAATAGACTAAATTTAGTAAAAATGAATAAAATAGAAGCATATAGTTTGAGGAGGATGAAGGAGAATCTGTTTTTAACCCATGGTGGGAATGATTATAAGTTTAGACACAAAATGTAGAATATTTAGTAGAGGTGATTGATCAATGTATTCATATCCAACTTTAAAACTTTTACTTAAATTTGATACTATAAAATCAAGTTAAGGAGTACAATGGAAAATGTTTACAATCTCTTTATTCATATGCTTATTCATTCTTTCCATAAACATTTATCAAGCACATACTATGTACCATGTGCTCTTTTAGGCCCTAGGGAATAGTAGTGAGCAAAACAGATAAAAATCTCTGCTTTCATAAAGATTACAGTGGATTAGTGTGCAGAAGATATTTAAAAAACTCCTTCAAATTAAAAAAAAAAAAAAAGCAAAAGTCCAATAGGAAAATTAGCAGAGAAAATGATCAGGTAATTAAAAAAAGAGAACATACAAATGGCCAATAAATATTGTTTCTCTTTTAAAACTTCAGTAGTAATTGGAAGATGCAAATTAAAATGAGATAGCACATTTTTCTCAAAAATTAAGGAAAAGACTACCATTGCCATGTGATCACACAGCAAAAAGGCCGTCAATAGATGCCAATGCCTTGATCTTGAACTCTCCAGACTTCAGAACTATGAAACAATAAATTTCCATTCATTATAAATTACCTAGTCTCAGGTATTCTGTTATAATGCCACAAAATGGACTAAAACAAACTGTATTAGCTTGTGTTGCTATAACAAAATACCAGAAACTGGGTGGCTTAAACAAGAGAAATTTATTTTTCACAGTACTGGAGGCTGAAAGTTTCAGGCCAGGTGCCAGGGATAGGATAGGTGGTAGTGATGATACAGGATAATGGGTAGTTTCAAGCACTTAGGTGAGCATGTAAATTGAGATAGTCTTTCAGGAGACAATCTGATAGAACTTTCCATTCTGAAACTCCTTTCTTAGGCATATATCTGCTACAGACTGAATGTGTGTCCCCAAAATTCATATGTTAAAACCCTAATCCCCAATGTGATGGTATTTGGAGATGGTGCTTTTGAGAATTAATTAGTTTTGAATTAGGTCATGAAAGTGGGAACCTCATGATGGGATTAGATATCTGCAAGCCAGGTAGAGGGACCTTACCAAGAACCCAACCATGCCGTCACCCTGATCTTGGACTTCCAGTCTCCAGAACTGTGAAAAATAATTTTCTCTTGTTTAAGCCACCCAGTTTGTGGTATTTTTGGGAAGGCAGCTCAAGCTAATAAAACTTCTGGGTAATTTATAATGAATGAAAATTTATTCGTTCACAGTTCTGGAGGCTGAGAAGTCTAAGATCAAGGCACAGACATCTGGTGGGGCTCTTTTTGCTGTCATCACATGACAAAATGTGGAAAAGCAAGAGCACACGAGAGCAAACCCACTCAGGAGGGCCCTTTTCATAATGGCATTAATCAATTCATGGGGGAAGAGCCCTCATAATCTAAACACCTCTTTTTAGGCCCCACCTTCCAGCACTATTGCATTAGAGATTAAATTTCCAACAGGTGAATTCTGGCACACACATTCAAAACACAGCATTCTGCCCAGGTACCCAAAATTCATGTTCTTATATAAAAAAATCCATTAATTCCTTCCCAACAGCCTTAAAAGATTCAATGTCTTTTAGCACCAACTTTAAAATGTAAGCCCAAAGTCTCAAATCTAAGCATTATATGACTGAGACCGGTACAATTCATCCTGATGCAAATTATCTTCTAGCTGTAAACCTGTGAAATCAAAACAAGTTATGTACTTTCAAAATACAATGGTGAGACAGGCATAGGACATATTTTTGCATTCCAAAGGGAGAAATAGGCAAGAAGAAGGCAGTAACAGGTTTCAAACATGTTCAAAAACCAACAGGGTAGACAATCCTAAATCCTAAGGCTTAAACTTTGACTTTGTGTCCTGTCTTCTAGGCACATTAAAACAGGAGTTGGGCCCCCAAGGCCTCAGGCAGCTCTAACCCTGTAGCTTTGCTGAACTCATCTCACTTAGCAGCTCTCGTGGGTTGGAGCCTCATGCCTGCACCTGTCCCAGGCTGATGTGGCATGCTAGTGGCTCTACAGTTCAAAGGCTTAGGAATGGCCCTGCTCTTATGGCTCTACAAGGCATTACCTTAGTCGGAACTCTTTGCAGTGGCTCTGCCCAAGCAGCAGGACTCTGCAGCATCCGTTGAAATCTAGGTGGAGGCATCCATGCCTCCACAGGGCCAGAGTTACACCTGGGCCTGCTTGAGCTACAGTTGAGGTAGGTATCTGAGGATAGCAGCACCAGGGACCTGAGACAGCTCTGGGCAATGAACCCCAAATTCTTAAGGTTTTCCTAGGTCCTTCCCTCAAAACCTTTCTTCCCTCAAGGCTGTTGCACTTTGAACCTATGATGGGAGTGGCAGCCTTGAAGATCTCTGAAATGCTTTTAGGATAATTCTCCCATTGTCTTGATAAATGGCAGGGCTTTCTGCTCTCTGTGGTAATCTTACCAAACAGTCACTGCTCACACTCTTGATTTTTCTCTTCTAAACATGCCTTCTCATTGTTTACATGTCCGTGCTTGGGATTTTCCAAATTGGTATGTTCTGCCCTTTTAATTGTTAATTCCATCTTTAAATTATTTCTGTTTACTCATAGTTTACTATATGCAGTAAAGAGAAGCCGCAGAGTCCCTTCCATATTTGCTGCTTAAAGATTTCTTCTGCCAGATATCCTAGTTCAATTCTCTTAAATTCTGCCTTCCATAAACCCATGGCATGGACATAATTCAGCCAAGTGCTTTGCCACTTTATAACAAGCATGACCTTCGGTTTCTGATACGTTCTTCCTTCTTTCTATCCAAGGCCTCATCAGAATAGCCCCTACTGTCCACATTTCTACCAATATTCTATTTATAATTCTGTTTATAACCACTTAAGTAATTTTTAAGACATTTTATACTTTTCCTATATTTCTCCTCTTTTTCTAAAACCTCACCAGAATTACCATTATTGCTATGTTCATGGTAATACAGGCATTTTCTAGCCTGCTTCTTTAAATTCTTCCAGCCTTTATCCATTATATGTAGTTTCATAGCTGCTTCCACATTTTCAAGTATTTATTATAGCAACACTCCACTTCTCTGGTACCAGTTTCTATCTTAGTCTGTTTTGTGCTGCTATAACAGGATACCTGAGACTAGGCAAGTTATGATGAAAAGACATTTACTGGCTCCAATTTTGGGGGCTAGAAATCGAAATCAAGGCACTAGTGTGTATCAGACAAGAACTTTCTTGTGACATCATCACATGGTGGAAAGCAAAAGGGCAAGAGGGCAGGAGTGCAGCAGAGCTAAGATTATGCACATCCGGGCTTAATACCTAGGTGATGAGTTGACAGGTGCATTGAACCATGATGACACATGTTTACCTATGTAACAAACCTGCACATCCTGCACATGTATCCCAGTACTTAATAATAATGAAAAGGAGTGAGCCCATCGCCACAAAACCTTTTTATAATTACATTAATCTATTCATGAAGGCACAACCCTCATGACTCAAACACTTCCCCCAGGCCCCACCTCTCAACACTGCCTCATTGAAGATTAAGTTTTTAACACATAAACTCTGGGGACACATTAAAACTAGAGCAGTATCTTAGAAAATATAGTGCACAGTTACGTTTATTGGATTTTTGTAGCATTTTTTTTCAATGACAAAAATGAAAGTAATCTAAACATCTACTAGGGGTAAATGGTAAAATAAAGCATGGCATAATCACTTGGAAGATTATAGCAAAGTTTTATTTATTTATTCATTTTTAATATTTCAGCATTTATTTTAGATACAGGGGGTACGTTCATAAAATTTTTACATGAGTGTATTGAAGCTAGGTAGTGAGCACAGTCCCCAATAGGTAGTTTTTTATTTTTAACCCACAACTCCCTCCCTCTTTCTCTCTCTCTAGGAGTTCACAGTGACTAATGTTCTCCCTGTTTATGTATATATGTGCTTAATGTTTAGCTTACATTTATAAGTGAGAGCATGTGACATTTGGTTTTCTATTCCTGTGCTAATTTTCTTAGGATTATAGCCTCGAGCTCCATCCATGTTGCTAAAAAGGACATGGATTTCCTCATTTTTTTTAATGTCTGTGTAGTATTCCTAAGTGTATGTTTACCACATTTTCTTTATTCAATTCACCATTGATGGATGCCTAGGTTGATTCTATGTCTTCGCTATTGTGAATAGCCTGGTGATAAACATATGAGTGTGTGTGTCTTTTGGTATAATGATGTGTATTCCCTTGTGTATATACCCGGTAATGGGATTGTTGGGTCTTATGTTAGTTATAAGTTTCTGAGAAATCTCCAAACTACTTTCCACAGTAGCTGAACAAATTTACACTTCCACCAACAGCATATAAATAAATATTCCTTTTCCTCTGCAGGCTTATGGGCATCTGTTGTTTTTTGACTTTTTAATAATAGACATTCTGTTTGGTGTGAGATGGTATCTTACTGTTTTTTGATTTGTATTTTTCTGATGTTTCATGATGAGCATTTTTGAAACATTTGTTGACTGCTGATATGTCTTCTTTTGATCAGTATTTGTTCATGTGTTTTGCCCATTTTTAATGGGGTTATTTGTGTTTTGCTTGTTGATTAGTTTAAGTTCTCTATAGATTCTGGATAGTGGACCTTTGTCAGATGCATAGTTTGTGATTTTTTTTCCCCATTCTGTAGGTTAGTCTGTTGATGATTTCTTTTGTGGTGGAGAAGCTCTTTCATTAAATTAAGTTCCATCTGTCTATATTCGTTGTTGTTGCAATTGCTTATAAAGACTTGGCCATAAATTCTTTGCCAAGGCTGATATTGAGAAGGTTATTTCCTAGAATTTCTTCTGGAATTTTCATAGTTTGACATATGACATTTAAACTCCATCTTGAGTTGGTTTTTTAATATGGTAAAAGGCAACGGTCTAGTTTCATTCTTCCATATATAGCTAGCCAGTTGTCCCTGCAACATTTATAGAATATGGAATTGTTCCTCCATTGCTTGTTTTTGATGGTCTTATGGAAGATAAGCTGGTTATAGGTGCACAGCTTTTTTTCTGACTTTTCTTTTCTGTTCCATTAGTCTCTGTGTCTATTTTTGTATCAGTACCATGCTGTTTGTATATGTAGCTATATATTTTGTAGTTTTATAGTATAGTTTGCTGTCAGGGGGTATGATGACTGGCTCGTTTCTTTTTGCTAATGATTGCTTTACCTATTCAGTTTCTTTTTTGGTTCCATAAGAATTTTAGAATAATTTTTTTCTAATTCTGTGAAGAATGGTGTTGGTAGTTTGCTAGAAATATCATCAAATCTGTAAATTGCTTTTGGCAGTGTGATGATTTTCATGATATTGATTGTTTCAATTCCATGAGCATGGGATGTTTTTCCATGTATTTGTTTCATCTCTGATTTCTGTCAGCAGAGTTTTATGATTCTTATAGAGATCTTTCACTTTCTTGGTTAGCTGCATTCCTAGGTATTTTATTTTCTTTATGTCTATTCTAATTGAGATTGTGTGCTTTATTTGACTCTCAGCCTGGATGTTATTGGTGTACAGAAATGCTACTGATTTTTATACATTGATTTTGTATACTGAAACTTTGATCATAGGAAATCTTTATTACTGATGTAAAAAGATCCTTAGGAAAATGGATAAGAAAAAATTTAAATGGTATTGGTGTATGATATTATTTATGTAAAACAAAAATATAATCATACGAAAGTCATATATTTTGTGAGTATATATGAAATGTAGTTACATATTTTACACATATTTATGTCAATGCATGTATAAGAGTATGCAACCATGGTTGCCCATCTGGAAAAAGAAGAGGAATTGGGCAGAAGTCCAGAGGAAATTTATCATCACCCAACTTATTTGAAATTCTATTCAAAAATGTATTCATTTAATAATTGTATACTGAAGTTGTTTTAAGTGCAGACAATTGCAGGAAATATCAAGAAGTAAATGAGCAGTTCATTGAGCAGCTGAGAGTATTACAGAAACTGAGTTTTTCACTGTCTTCAAAGCACAAAACATAGTGTCTAGTCGGGTTTGTTTGAAGCACAAATCATTGTCTGAGAATTGAGGGAAAAAATGGGACAAACTTAATTGGAAGTGTTTGCTAATGGTTTTTAAAGTTGGATTAAATTTTGTGATTAAATTTTAAGCAGAGATATGAGATTACTGGATCTATATTTTATAAAGTTGTATTTGTTGTACAGGATGAATTGGAAAGAAAGACAAAAGAGTTAGTTTGTATGTGTGTATGTTTGTGTGTGTGTGTGTATGTGTTGTGTATGTGTACATGGGGGAGAGAGAACGAGACTATTTCAGGAAGAAGGCATGTGTTAAGATATTATGTCTCATAAAACCAACTTATAAATATACTACTAGCAGTCAGATAGTAGAAAAAACTTTGAGTATACTACACAGTATATAAATACATCTCATATCTTCTATATAAAACTTATAGTGTAGATGTAAGCATACACATTTCCCATCTTAATTACTGCTATCTCTTGTATACGCTTAGAGAAATATAAAGATCTCAAGATGATTAGGAGTCAGCAAAAAATTTTAATCTGATCTTTGAGAACAGCTATTCTGCTTTTTCAATTCCCTTGACTTCAGATTCTTAAGAAATCATGAACCTTATATCAAGCCAAAAAGACAGATGATACCTACTGCACCATCTGTCTCAAGGTGTATTTCTAACTTCTTTAAATAAAAAAGATGGATATTGGGAAAGTCATTAGTCACCACTGCCTTTCCATTTTCTGGTCATAGAGATGAAGTCAATCAACCTGAGCATCTGCCTGGGTCAGCAGACCAGAAGAGACTTTTGACACGGGAATATATAGCTCTCCCTCCAGAATGCTTTCTGATTTCAACTTTGGACTCCTCTTATTGTTTTTAAGAAGGAAGTTTGATGTTCTTATCTCAGGTAAACTGTCTACATTCTCTTATGCTGTTTTTCATCACCAAGGCATTTTAAGATGATCCATCTCATAATTTTAACACAAAACACATTTTCTGATTGCATTCTTACTTCTTAGAGCCTGATTTTAAAAAGTTAAAAGGGGGAAATGAAATCTGCCTTCTGCAAGACACAGAACACATTACTGTTGTGTATTTGTCAGGTTTCCAAAAGTAAAATTAAAATGGGAATGATAAATGAAGGTGGTGTTCCCATGTTTCCTTCTCTTTTTAAGTCCACTTAATTCTCCTCCTCTCTTCCATGATCAATATCTTACCCTTAACAACACCAGTTCCTGTTGTTCACATTCTATTTAATTACACAGATGTCTGTCCAGTTCTTATTAAGTTCAAGTCCTAGAATGATAGAGCAGTCTTGTCTTATGTGTGGATAGGAATGCACATCGAAAAGAAGTGGAATATAGTGATCATGATTTATTAAAGCTATAATTATTTTACTCAACAAATATTAAACACCGGGTACACAAAGATGGTTTAGATGCCAATTCTGCCCAGGTTATTAGAGAAGGACTATTATAAACATGTCATTATAATAGAATGTGCTAAGTGTTATAATTGAAGCACATACAAAATTCTGCATAAGTTCGGAACAAGAATTCATGCAGAATAAGAACTATTAACTCATGGAGAGAGAGGTCAAGGAAGGTGTCATAAAGAAGTGGTACTCAGAAACAGAGGAGTAGTGCAGCAAAAAGAGAGTATAATTGCTATTCCAGGCAGTGTGTGTGCCATGTGTCACGAAATAGATGAGGAATACATTTATTATTTGGGGAAAGGTAAATTGTTCCCTGTAGCTAAAGAACAGGGTAAGTAGGAGAAAATCTGGTAAAGAACTGGGGGCGGGGAAGAACTGGATGAAGTCTAGCATTGGCAGAAATGACCAATCAGTGTTTTATGTTTTTTTTCACATTTACTCCTCACAAAAAATCTGAGTCAAGTGCTAGTATCTTTATTTTGCAAAAAAGCCATCAGCCCAGGTAAGGTAAAAAGAAAAATAAAATTTTTCTAAATTTATATAGGTAGAAAATGGCAGAGGCAGTAATTAAATTCAAGTCTAATAGGTTTTAATCTGTGTTCTGATTCATAGAAGAATGGATGGTCAGGGGAAGACTACTTGTGAAGACCTTGAATGTAATGGGAATTTGAATTTTATGTGTATGCAGAAAGAATTGAAAGAAATATTTTAAGCAACAGAAAAGGAATGTTCATTATATCGATAAAGAAAGACTAGTGCTTTCGGGACTTCCTTTGCTAACATTAGTAATGTGCAGTCATTATTATTAGTAAAAGATTTGCTTCAAGTCAGTGATTGGACAAGAACAAAATATAATTAAATTGTCCCATGGTACTGGATATGCTCATCTACATAGACTTAAAACTAAAATATAATTTAATTTGATGAAACACCCTGAAAAGGACAAAAAGCTAAGGCATGATTTTCAGTATATTTTCAGCTCATTGATATTTAAATGAACTCAGAACTCAGTGACCAGCACAGATACATCTGCAAAAGCACTGCTTTTAGGCTGATGTCAACACAGGATTCAAACAGAAAGCTAGTATGACACAATGACTATCTTAGCCAGGCTTTTCAGACTTGGCAATACATTTAAAATCTGTATAAATTTGAAGCAAAAGTATTAGCATCAGGTGGAGGTCAGTACAACCCTATTTTATATGTCCCGAGTTTATCTGAAACAAAGGCATACCGTAATCTTTGTTCTACGGGAAATAAAGTATAAATCAAGAAGGGGCTCTATATCAGGCCCTATGTTGTCCTTGAACTACGTGCATAGAAACTGAATTGACAATCAAAGCACAGTGCCCTGCTATGTGGCAAGTGACTGCATTTATTTCCTTTCCTTTTTTTTTCAATGAGTGAAATCAGTAATAAGCCAGGCAACTCGATGCATTAATCTGTTACATTGTCTTTTATTGCCAAGTATGTGTGTATTGTAAACAAAATCCTAATGTATAAATTACCTTGAAGAGAGATTTTTTTTCAAAGTATAGAAGTAAAGAAATGATACTTTTCATCTGAATTCCATATTTAAAGATGACAGTTGTAGGTTGAGTGAACTAATTTGAGATGATTCTTGTACTTTAACTTCTGATTCTTCCATTTATTGATCTGAACAATTTACTTAGCACTTCTGAGCCTACTTTCCTCAGCTCAATTGGAAAATAGAAATAAAACTCTCCTCTCTTCCAGGACCTGTATGAAGATTAAATATGATAATATATAGGGTGCAGGTAGGTGCTGGGTTCATGGCAGCTTCTGTCTGCCCTGCCTACAAAATGCCATATTTGAATGGTTTTGGTTTCAACATTTGGTTTTCTGCCGGAGTAGATAGTCCTAGAGAGAAATATCTTTTGTTTGTCAAAACATGAAAAGATGATTGTAGGTCTTAAATTTTATCTGAATTTTAGACTTTTTCTGAGTATTCAAATGTTTTATATTCATAATAATTATTTATTAGAAAGTTAAGAGTTTTGATGCTTTTGCCTTCATGGAAGCAGTTGCTGGCCATAAGAAGATATGTAAAAGTAGCTAACAGTAGGACAGGTTGGCCTGTTCATGAAGAGACCCTCATCTGGTGCATGACTTATGAAAATACTTTCTTTCCTCCCTAAGTCTTGTATTAGGTTTTTGCTTAACAGAAGACAGCTCTAATTGCTAATTTGCAGGAGAAAGCACAATCTCAATGTCTCCCTTACAGCAGAGGTGGTTTTGAAACCAAACCAAAAAGCCATCAGCAATATCCAGGATAATTCTGCCAAGAACTAAGGCAAGGGTCTTTTTTAAAAAAAAATTATTTTCTTTTTTCCTTGCAACTGACTTTGGGACCTGTAATTTACAGGTTGTCATGGAAACAAGTCGCATGTGTTAGTTCCCTTGGCAAAAGTGGCAGTCTGTGAATGGTGAATATTCAAGGTGGCACCAGGCTCATCTATGCTAAGAGTAAGTTCAATTCCAAAACATCAAAAAAATCTTACTAGACATAGTCACAACAAAGAGGGTACCATTTCAGACAATTGCCTAATACATGTCTTACTGACTCAAATGTGCTTGCTTAGAAATAAATAGTAAGTTCCCCAGTGTGAGTGTATCAGTGTGCATGTTTACATGTTGATCAGGACACATTGATTTCTTCCCCACAAATAATGAATACAATATTAATAAGAATATTGGGGCTGGGCGCGGTGGCTCACGCCTGTTATCCCAGCACTTTGAAAGGCCGAGGCAGGTGGATCATGAGGTCAAGAGATTGAGACCATCCTGGTCAACATGGTGAAACCCTGTCTCTACTAAAAATACAAAAATTAGCTGGGCATGGTGGCGTGTGCCTGTAGTTCCAGCTACTTGGGAGGCTGAGGCAGGAGAATTGCTTGAACCCAGGAGGCGGAGGTTGCGGTGAGCCAAGATCGTGCCATTGCACTCCAGCCTGGGTAACAAGAGCTAAACTCCATCTCAAAAAAAAAAAAGAATATTGATTTGATATTTTAGTGTTAATTAGCTTTACTCTGGCAAAAGACACCTTTGGTAGCTTTAAAGCTATCTTGAAAAATAACTCCTGTTAGTATTCTACTTAGAAACCAATACTCATGAAACTGCTAAGAAAACAAATAACTATATATTGATACTGTTGATTGCTAGTCTAGTTGTCAGTGGAGCTGATAGCATAAAACCTCACCATAAAATAAGGTTAAGATTGACTGATAGTGTATTCTTATGGTCCTTTGAGTTGTATGTGCTTTACAAAGGGAAACTGTTTTATTTTTAGGTGTATTTTTCTGACCCTCATTCTATTCACCTATTTTACCACCTCCTTCACTTATGAAAAGAGATAGCAAACCATAGAATAGATCAAATAGATACAGAAATTTTCATTGGTATGTGTTCTGAATATGTCAGACAATTTCAGAGGTCAGGACACTGGAGATGTCACCTCTATGCACAATCAGTATTTTCATCTTGTTTTCATATACTTTGATCCTGGAAGCCCCTGACGTGACTGGTAAAATAGATTTATTTTAACGACTAAGGAGTTCTAGTTGCAAAAACATAATGAGACTATTTCTGATGTTTTGACTAGCACAAAAATAAAATTTTAGCTTACTGTTCATATGTACGGTTGCAATTCCCATTCTAATTCCGTTTTCATAACTCGGGTCTCAATTCAACACTTCTTCCATGATTTATTTATTTATTTTTATTTTGTTTTGTCTTAGTTTTCAGTATTTTGAATCTAGATTGATTTTTTTTTCTCTGCTGTGATCACATTGAATAAGTATACCTATATGCTTTATCCTTTATATAGAGTTTGCACAAGGATAACTCCTTGTATATATAGCACATATATAGGTATATCAATATTTTATTACCCTCCAAACTTTACATAGGAACCAAACTTTTTATTCTTTATTTATAGCTGCCTTCATCACAGAAGATCCAAGGATTTTATATGAAGCTTACAGAATTTGTCTGAAGTAGGTGTCAGAAACAAGTGCTAAAATGGAAAATGTGAAATCACTAGGCTTCAATGATAACATTCCGAATATTTCATACTAACCTGTGAGGAAGCTCCATTCCCTAGCTCTCCCACCACTTGGTATGTGTTGAAAAGGTGCCATGGTGAACAATACACAGGCTTTTGTCAGATTTAGTTTGCCATATTGCATGTACATGAAGCCAAAGAGTGACTGGGAAGAATCCCAGCAGAGCACGAAAGAGCAACAAACTGTAAAAGGAAAAATGAGAATGGAAAGAGGGGAAAAGGTGAGAACTCAAGAGAAAACGCTAAAATGAAGCCAGAGGGAAATGTTGAAAAGGGAGAGAAACACTACAGAGGAGGAAAAAAGAAAAAGAAAAGTTAACAGATTGCAGGCAGAATCATTGTAGAACTGAACGTATATATCCAAAGTGTCAGGCAATATATCTCTAAAAATGTAATTGGGAGGGCAGCCATTTCTTTTTAATAGTGAGCTATTTTCAAGTGTTATGAAAGTCATGTGAGATTTGATGTCAATTTTATTCTTGGCATTCAGTCTTTCTTTATGAACACAAAAGGAAACCATGAGGTTAGACAAAAAGGTAAAAGGAAGTTTTCATAGAAGGAGAAGAAGGAAACAATACATTGACATTGAAAAAGACATTTTAGAAATACTACTCTTCTAATTGTTTACACATCTGTGCTGTTAATTGCAGGCAGATATTGAAGTGCTATTGTTGCTAAACATTGATTTGAAATCAAATGCTTTGCATTCTTAACATTTCAATATACTATCTTATATTTTAAAATGCTCTCCAATAAAATACCCTGGGGAAATGTGAAGTCAGCTTTTCTCCATAGGAGTTGTAAAATTCATTTAGAGTGGTGAAAGTTTCACAATTTTTAAACTATTAACATTCCTCTAAGTAGAACGTATCAAAACCTTTGAAAACCTCAATAATTATAAAATTTTGAATAGTACAAGTGAGCTTTTGAACTTCTTAGCTATTTTTTGTTATGGAAATTTTCTTTAGGTTTGACAACAATGATTTCTTTCAACTGCACATTTCCCTTCCACTAGACATGAGGATAAAAAGAAGGTATTTTATAAAAAGTGATTGATGTAACATACCTGTTTAGGATTTATTCTCTCTCACATAATCACAGCACAATTGAACTGAATTCAGAATCTTATGGTGGACAGAGACATAAAGTAGACTTCTGAATGCCTTATAGACAATTAGAACAAATTACTGTTTGGCAATGCGATAAGGATAAATAACTTGTAAACATATAAAAATAAATTATTAGGAGACTTCATTGCTGAGTTTGTTTCTATAATTCTTAACAGTTCTTTGGCATTACCAGACTGAGAAAGACAACTAAACATCTCATGCTAAGTATACAGCCTGTGTTGCGTGATGTTTGTAACTAGATTATACTCAAGTTAACTTAAATGAGGGCTAAGAGTCCTCAAATTTATCCAATTTTTGTGAGCTTTTCTCTTCTGGATAGGGAAATACATAACATTAGCTAATATTAGCTATTCACAAAACATTTTCTTCCAACTCCATTCTAAGTACCTAAGATGTCAATATAAATCATAAAAAACATTGAAAATTTCAATTATTCCTAACTGTGACGATAATAGGAGTTGCTGGGAAATGAATCATTAATTTTTAGACTAAAGATTTTAATTTTGCCATAATTTTTCCTTTAAAAAGGAAGATTATAATTCTTTTAAATGTGATGAAATTTACTTAAAATAGCAGTCATTTCTCAAATATTGTTTGGTAGGAAAATTAATAATGAACTCATCAGTTTAGGACTAGATAAAATATTTAAAATTTTAGCACATGTAACTAATTTCATAGAAAACTTAAAAAGCTTATAATAAGTTTCGAATATACATATCCTTGAATAAAAAACAGATATGTTTATATATGTGCATGCACACACCCAAATATGTGCATATATGGTAATTAAGATTTAGTACTAAAATTGTTTCTCCAAATTTCAATTTCAGGATTCTATTCCATTCTTACATTCTTTTCCTTCTTTGACCCAAGTGTTCCAAATACTGTCTCAAAGGGAAAGTATATTTTAGAGTTTTTTTTTGATGTGTCACTGTCTCCTTGCAAAAAGTGCTCAAAGAGCTAAAAAATATTTTTAGTTTAAAAAAGATGGTTTGAAAAATTTTTTCACTTTTGGATTAATCAATTTGACTATTTAGAGAGCTAAACTGAAATAAAAAGAAACTTCTATATAAGGAAGATTAAGTATTGGCTGGGTGTGGTGGCTCATGCCTGTAATCCCAACACTTTGGGAGGCCGAGGTGGACAGATCACAAGGTCAGGAGTTCAAGACCATCCTGGCTAACATGGTGAAACCCTGCCTCTACTAAAAATACAAAAAAGTAGCCAGGTATGGTGGCACGTGCCCGTAGTCTCTGAGCCAGGAGAATCGCTTGAACCCAAGAGGTAGAGGTTGCCATGAACCAAGATTGCTGCACTCCAGCCTGGGTGACAGAGCGAGACTATGTCTTATAATAATAATAATAATAAAAAAATTCTGTAAATGAAACTGTAATTCAGTGTCTCTCATGAGCATAGACACAGAATCTTTTTTTATTTTCGATAGCCTTTCGCTCTGTCACTCAGGCTGGAGTACAATGGCATGATCTCGGCTAACTGCAACTGCTGCCTCTCTGGATCAAGCAATTCTTGTGCCTCAGCCTCCCAAGAAGTTGGGACTACAGGGTGCTGCCATCACACTCAGCTAATTTTTTTGTATTTTTAGTAGAGATGGGGTTTCATCATGTTGGCCAGATTGGTCTTGATCTGCCTGTCTCAGCCTCCCAAAGTGTTGAAATTACAGGGGTGAGCCATTGTGCGCAGCCAGACACAAACTCTTCAACAAAACCAACAAAATATTAGTAAACAAAATCCGACAAGATATGAAAAGAATAATATATCCTGAACAAAAGAGATTTGTTCCAGGTGTACCAGGCTTGTTCAACATTTGAAAATTAGTCCATGTAAAGCATCATATTGATCGACACAATACAAACATTTGACAAAATCCAATTCCCATTCATAAAAACTCTTAGCAAACAAAATTAAGGAAAATTTTCTCAAGTTCATAAAGAAATCTACAAAAGACCAACATATAACATAATACTTACTGGTGATACACTGCATGCTTTTCTCCATAGATCAGGAACATGGCAAGAATGTCTTAACTGCTATTAATATCTTACTGAAAGTTCTAGCTAATGCAATAAGACAGGAAAAAATAAATAGAAAATATACAGATCGGAAAAGAAGTAAAACCATCTTCAATTGCAGATGACATGATTTTCTATATAGAAAAATACCAAACAATTTACCAGAAATCTCTCAGAATTAATAAATAAGCAGATTAAGGTAGAATGTATACAAAATGACCATTATCACTTTGAAAAAATATTTATGTATTAGAGCAATTAAGAATAATAATAAAAGGTTTTATTTTACCTTCAATTATTTTCTCTTTGATGTTTTTTCTGTTTTAAAAGTTTAGATCTGATTTTCTGACATATTTCCCTTCTCTCTGAAGAACTTCTTTTCATACTTCTTTGCTGGAAGGTCTGCTGGCTATGAATTCCCTCAGTTTTTGTCTTTGAGAGTGTATTTCTTTTTCAATTTTGAAATCAATTCAATTTTTTTTCCTGCCTTTTGGAATACCTTACAAGTTTTTGTTGCAATCTGTATTGAGGTTAATAGGACATTAGTGTGAAATTTATCTGAATCTGACTAGCAATTGGACTATATTCAACATTTGTTGTAGCTGTAGGTGTCAGAGACTAAATTTCACTAATGCCCTGTTTTTGTTTCTCTGTTGGCTTCAGGTTTTCTTAAGATCTTTCATAGAACCTGAGCTTTGCAGCTTTTTCAGCTGTAATCTACTTTTTACTGTTAATGTGATGAAAAAGAGTTGGGGAGGAAAATGCTTTATAATCTTATAATCAAATATTATTCTTTCAGTGGGCCTATGTCCCTGGAGTGATCTTCACCAGTAATTCTTACATTCATATTCTCCCACACTTAGATGAAAGGGTAGAGAGACCTGGAGTTGCATACTACTCTCCTGCCTATTGAAGACACAACTTTCGTAATGGCTTCTTCACTGGAGAGTAGCCTATTGTTTTGGCATTCCAAAGTGATCACTTTCCCCATCTATTCATCAAAGATATGAGGTAATTTTTTTTTTTATCGTGAGAACCTGGTGGCATCTTTGTGGGTAAAACCTGTACAATTGTGAGCTACAAGCTTGATATACAAAAGTCAGTTGTTTTCCTGTATAGCAGCAATAACAATTAGAATTTGAAAGTTAAAATAACAGACCATATACAATAGCACAAAAACATTTTACTTAGATATATATCTAAGAAAGTATGTACAGGTTGTGTATGCAGAAAACTGTAAAATGTTGATGAAAGAAATCAAAGAAAATTCAAATAAATGGAGAGATATTTGTAGTTTATGGATTGGAAAATCAAATATTGATTAAATGGCCATTCTTCCCATCTTCATCTATATATATTCAAAGCTAATATACAGCTATATATATATGTTTTCTTGCTGCTTCAGCTGAGAGAGCCTAGAAACAATGACATACTTGTAGTGATAAGCACAGCTAGCACCGAGATCTTTGTTTCTAATACTATTGTCCAATAAAATAAACCAGTGCTTCATGGCTTGTTTTAGTACTGGGGTAGGAAATATATAAGATGAGCCTGGAACATATTATAGTACCAAAAAGAAAAGGAGAACTAAAAAAGTCCACCTTGTTCCTAACAAAAAAACAGCCTCACAATAATGAGGGTATTTCAAAAGGACACAGGAGTCAGGTGAAAGAGCTCCCAATTATGAAAGCTGGAACAATTTGAGCAACAAAATAGAGTTGTATTGGATTATAATCTAAAGTAAAAAAATAAATTTCTGTGAGTTTTTACTGATTAAATAACTACATAAATATCTTCTTTTCCAAAATTCATAATCCCATTTTAATCATGAGAAAAATATCAGAAAATCCCAATCAAAGAACATTCTGTAAAATATCTGACCAGAACTCTTCAAAACTGTTAAATCATCGAAAACAAGGAAAGTCTGAAAACTGTGACAGTCAAGAGCAACCTAAGAAGAAATGGCTACTAAATCTAATGTAGGATTCCAGATGGACTCCTGGAACAGACAAAAAGAGCACTAGGTATAAACTAAGGAGACCTGAATAGGTCATGGACTTTAGTTAATAATGTTATGTCAATATTGGCTCATTAATTATGACAAATGTAAGATGTTAATGAGAGGAGAAACTGGGAGGGGGTTATATAGAAACCCTTTTTACTCTCCTCTCTAATTTTTTGTAATCTAAAAATAATAATACAAATAATTTATTAAAAACGCATTGTAAAGAGTACTTTTACCTGCTTTAATCTACTCTGAGCACTAGAATATGAAAGGAACACCTGGACTAGATATTATTGATGTTGCAAACAGTATGTCTGTCATTCATTTTGGCTGTCCAGCTTATGCACTTTAAATACCTGAATGGATTTTTTTTAAATAAAATCTTTATTAAAAAGTAGAAGTTATTGAGAATGCCTAAACATTTTTGCTGAAATGAGAATTACATACTTTTTATTGACTAAAGTATAAATTTATATTACAGTCTATACAATAATACGGAGGGAAATTCTGATATTGACCTCTACGTCATTGGGGAGTTGATAAGGTTTTTAGGCAGATATGACCAAGATAAGTATTTCTGTTCTAGATCTGAGTTTCTCTTCTTCTGGTCTTCAATTCCTGGTACTTTCTGAGTGTACATTGAGTTTCCTGGAAAGGACTAGTCCATTTTGAGATAATAGTTATCTCAAATTGAATTAAGTTTGGTCTAAAGCTTTCTCCATACATATTTTAGGTCTGGCCTAAAGGTTTACCCATACAGAGTAAATTGTAACGTACCTTGATGTATAAACAGACGATAACCTACTCTAGTAACATGTAGCTGTTTGAGCCAGTCACAGCAGCTGAATTTCAGCCAATCACAGGTGATCAACTGTTCAAACCATGTTCATATAAGATAAATGCTGAACTCTAACCAATTCAGCTGTTTTTATGTCTCACTTCTGTTTCTGTACATTACTTTTTTTTTTTCTGTCTATTAATGTTGTCTGATGATGTGACAGTCTTAGGGTCACTTTGAACCTATTCTGATTCTGGGGCCTGCCTGATTCGTGCATTAATTTTTGCTCAATTAAACTCTTAAAATTAATTTGTCTAAAGTTTTCCTATCAATAATATCAAATGATTATACAGCCCTCATTACAGGCCCAGTCTCCTTCTAGGTGTTTTATAGTTTTTAACTCACCTAATACAACGATTCTATTGGATGGCCTCTGTTATTAATGTCCCTGATAACAAATGAGGAAAATAAGCCTCACACCCTATAAGGGGCAGAGTAGGGACTATGAACTTTCCTACATTATTAGTAGTTAGCCATAAATATATGGCCTATGGTTTTAGAGTCCATATACCTAAATTACCACAGTTTTAGTTCATATGTAAAAAGTGCTCGAACTCAGGTTTTGAATAACAACTAGTAAACTATACTTGGCACCAGGATGCCTTCATACCTTCAGTTCCTGTGCAAGGAATGCAACCTAATTTAGCACATAAACAAACTGAGAGTCTAATTTAGAATGTCTTAGCCAATTACAGCAGCTACGTTTCAGCAAATCATAGGCTACCAACTGATTAGAGCTTGTTCGAATAAGGCAAACACTAGGCTGTAACCAATTAAACTGTTCCAGTACCTCTTTTCTGTTCATAACTGCTATCAACCCACACTGCAGGGTCGAGCTTTCTGAACAGTTTCTGGTTCTGAGGGTTGACCGATTTGCAAATCATTCCTGCTGAGTTTGTTACATTTAATTGTCTATGTTTTGATTTTTTTTCACACTTACGTTCAAAGGAGAGTTTTGTTTCCTCCCAAAATGCTCAAAGGAATGCTTCCTGTGTGCTTCACATAACATTGTGAGGGATCATCAACTTCTGCTTGATGCTGCTTCTTTGCTCTCTAACCTCAGCTTTCAGTATTCCTTAACGTTCTGCCCTGTAGGTGTTCTGCCCCAGCTGCCATCATGGAAAGTAGTTCTAACGTGTTTTGTGTAATTGGAGAAATATGTTCTTGATTGGGATACAAGAGGAAAATAATTTTCAAACCACTCCCCACCCCAGGCCAACTGACATCAGTGATCTTTAGTTGTGACCTTGGTACAGTTTTTGAACTTAAAACTTTTGACCTACTTAATGAAAAGTATTGAAACACAGATTCTAAGATATCAAATGCTAATAAGAACCATAAAATACCTAATAATGGTTTTCTTTGCTTGATCAAAGATCTCCACAGGAAGGAGATTGGCAATTCAGTAGGTGACACTTTTTCTACTGAGCCAGAACTAAAGCAAAACCTCAGGAATTCAACCTGCCCCAAGAATAGGTATCTTTCCACTGAGAAATGGGACCAAGGAGATATTTATTTGTGGCATTAAAAAATATTTTTTTGAAGTGCTCAGGTGTGTTGGTTAAAATCCAGTTTGGATAATTACATTCTTCTCACAGAAATTCCACCTACAATTTTAACTGCCACCTCTAATTTCATCAACAGTTTGAATTCTAAATAGTCTCTTTTTGACACATATTGTTTTTAGTTCCGCTGCAATGGCTGGCCAGTAGTCCCCTTCCTCATTGTAGCTGACAGTAATGAAGTAGCACAGGAAACTATTTTTGGGTATAATTAAGTGATTGTAAATGAATGGCACTATATTAAAATGATGTAATATTTATTATAAAATGATATGAAAATGTAAACTCTCATAGATTTTGGAATTCCTTTGGTGAAAAATGTTTGGCACTTTCTTTGTGATTGCTGCTAACCTAAAGATATACATGCTTTATGATGCTTCGAAAAAATATGTGAGTGTGTCACCTGCCTGATGAAGACATATTAATGCTTTGGTATTCATTTCACATAGTATGACATAATGTAGTTGAGAGATAAAGCACTTTACATGGAAAACAGAATACTGAAGTAACGTGTTAAATCCCTTGCTTTAACTGGGAAATGTATAAAATAATAAAAACTTTTTGTGTTCTCAAAGAGCTTATGATTTTTAAATTGAAAGAGCCAAAAATTAATAAAAGTTTACCCTAAACTTAGTATTCAGAAGTAGTAAGTTATATCCCAGGGTCAAGCAGTTTTTCTAACTAATCTCATTAATATCCGTTGCTTTCCTCCCTTCCTCTATCCTTTCACACCAGCATTCTTATCCCCAAATCTCAGAGAAATACATTTTTAGTTTCTCATTATTCCTTTCTACTAGTTCCTTTTGCATTACTGTTTTATGTCTTTCCTCTAAACATTGAGCATGAATAACGAATTCACATTTTCATTAATGCTTATATGATACATAATAATCACTATCCAGTCAGACAAAACAAAATCTTTTCGAAACACTGAGAACTTAAAAACACTGATACTAGTGTAAAGCATTAGTCATTCAGTGAACAATTATGGTACATTTATTGTAAGATAGACATTAAAAAATGTAAGATACAATGATTATTTTATTTTACCAAATCAAGATCTGAGTCAAATCTCAGGGCTTCACAGCACATCTTGAGTAAAGCCTGGCTGATACATCTGTTCATTTTTTTCTGCATCTTGTTTTTAGTTATCTAATGCCAAAATACCTCTTATATACTGTTGCAATCAGCATCAACAACCATACAGGAGCCTCCTCAATAGTCTGGTATATCTCCCTCAAAATATGTCAGCCTAGCTAGGTGTGGTGGCTCGTGTCTGGAGTCCTAGCACGTTGGGAGGCCAAAGAGGAATGATTACTTTAATTCAGGAGTTTGAGACCAACCTGTGCAATATAGTGAGACCCCAACTTCACAAAAGATTTTAAAAAACTTAGCTAGGCATGGTAGCATGTACCTGTAGTTCCAGCTACTCTGGAAGCTGGGGTGGCAGCATCATTTTTTTCTGGGAGGTTGAAGCTGCAGTGAGCTGTTACTGTGCCACTGCACTCAAGACTGGGTGACAGAGCGAGACCTCATCTCTAAAAATAAAGAAATAAATAAATAAAATAAAAGGAGTCAGCCACTCCTTTTCATTTAGTAAAGTAGGAGAACAAGTGTTAAAGAAAAATTAGAGCTTGACAGTAGCTGAAATGGTTAAAAACTTATACTATTGAGGAAAAACTGCAATAGGGAAGAAGAGACCTGAGTTAAGGACTGGGCTCAGTTCTAACTACAACAGGGAAGAGGAGATTTATAGCTAAGGATTAGATTAATGGGATTGGTGGATAAAAAATTATTGAGAAGATGGGGTGATTCTTGCTAAATTGGTTTAACATAATTCTTCCTGAAGGAAGGCCAGTCTAATCCAATATCACATGGGGATGGTAGGGATGAGAAATTCAGTCAGTTATTCAGGGTGATCAGATACTGAGGGTGGGAGATGCTTGATAAAATGACCTTCTACTTATAAATAGTAAATCTATCTTCCTGATGATTTTCTCAATAA